CCCCCGCCCGCCATAACCAATTGCCATGACCTGAACTAAACTGAGCTGAACTGCCACAAAATTCTCTAGAACCCGAAGAACCCGACTCTGCCGTTCTTCCATCCTATTTCCTCTTCCGTTCTATTCCGTGGGGTTTATTTGAGTCATTATACATACATACATACCAGTTAGTACCAATTAACTACATTTTATTTTATTTTGTTTCGTTTCCTACTTTCCCTACAATTATTCTGTATACATACATACGTACATACATTACTTTATAATAATCACCATCATGAATAGTTATATACATACTTATGCTTACAATAAATCCTTCTTACTCGCTATGCGAAGTATAATCTCTCCCGGCTGGTATCCGATAAAATTTACAATTACTTACCTAACCCCCATTATTCACGGCAACTGGTCTACGAGAATACGAGCCTAGTTCTAGCAGATAAGAGAAGTATCCACTTGTCCGAAGTAAAAAGTAGTCTAATTTGGTGGGTTGTTCGAGAATAATTTCAGGCACGGGTCGTCGGCTTTGTGGTGTGGGCACTGCCTGCAGGGTCTGCTCTACTGGCGGACGGATGACCTCCGCCGATGAACGTATCCATTCAAGTACAGTGTAGGCACACAAATTCAGCCAGGCAACGCCATAAATTATATTGCTATGCTAATCATAATAATAACTAAGGTAATGAGGGGAAAAACTATGCATAATCCGTACATCGTATGTACACCCGCCCTTTCTCATTCTCATCTGCTCTGCAGGTGCTCTTACGCGGGCCTGCGCGACTTCGCATATATCACGTTCAGCGCGTATACACGAGAACTGCGGGTCAAAATATTATAGTACATTAGAAGAAATAGAGGGTATCGAGCGGAGTGAGAGCTTTTCAGTGCTCTTGCTCCTTCTTCTCCTCATAGGCCGGGGGCGCGGCAGGAGCATCGGAATCATCAGCGTCGAGCGCATTGAGCTGGTCTTCCTGGTCGTTGAGGTGGTGGTACACCAGCCAGAAGATGATACCGGCAACGAACGAGGCGCAAGCCAGACCCACGAACATCCACATGATGGCCGGGTCATAGGCAGCAGGGGTCAGTGCCTCGGCCAGAGCGGAACCAAAGGCGTTGGTGAGCAGGTACATGGACTGCACAAAGGACTTCATCGACGGAGGAGCCTTGGTGTAGGCATACTCCAATCCAGACACCGACGCGAAAATCTCGGACAGACCAATGAACACATAGGCAGGGGTCTGAATGGCAATGTGCACGTGGTTGCCGGTGGTGGACCCATCAACCTCCGAAGCAGCACATCCCGGGTGCTCGTAGCAGGGCCCAGCGGAGTAAATGAGGTGCTGGACAATGGCCGCGTACATCATCGCCAAGGAGGCCACAACGAAACCCAGGGAGATACGGGTGATCGGACGGAAGCGGATACGCAAGCGACGCAGCAGGGGGTAGATAAGGGTCTCCAGGACGGGGATGAAGACGATGATGGAGATCGGATCAAAGTTCTGCATCAAGTCGTTCGGGATTCCGTGACCTTCCATCTGACCGGCCTGGGTGACAAAGTTGCTGGAGAACTGGCCGTAAACAACCCAGTAGATCGGGTAGAAACAGAACACACGGCAAGCGACCAACGCACGCTTGAGCTCGTCGATGAAGTGATCATCCCAGGGGAGGTTGGTCCTTGTGCCGTTGTTGGCCGCCTGCCAGCTGGGCTTGGGGGCATCCATGTTGCGGTTGACAACCATGATCCACAGAGCCTTGAAGGCGTCGGTGATAATGGAGCCCTGGGGAGGGCGAACAACGTAGTACTTGCGGCCGAAGATGAGCACCATGGTACCCACGGCGAACATGCACAAGCAAAGCAGATAACCAGACCAGAAGCCAATGTACTTCTCCATGTAAGGAGTGGCCAACAGAGACAGCGATCCCACGTTGATACAGCCGTAGAAGATCATGTAAATGCGCTGAATCGTGAGGGAAGGGTCAATGACAACCCGCTCACCCTTCTTGGTGGTGGACATGGCCATCTTCTTGCGCTTGTACTGGTCGGCAATCAGAGGAGCAACGTTACTCTTGATACCACCCGTTCCCAGACCGATGATCAGGATAGACACGATGAAGCCACCAACACCGGCTCCATGGTGAAGAGCGGTCGGGATGGACGTGCAAACCAAGATGAGCAGACCGACCAAGTAGATGATACAGAAAACCACGATGGTCTTGTATTTACCGAGGTACTGATCAGCGACGATGGCACCGATGATGGGGGTAACTGGGGCAGATGTCAGCCAGCGATCCCGCGTATTTATGCAGTAGTAGACAAACCATAACACCAGAACTGGAAGAAAGTGGTGAGACCAGTGGCTCCTTGATGACCCATGCCTAGGGCACCACGTCCCTCACTTCCGTCCAGAGGACGATCAACGTAGTTCTGGAACATGCCAGACATTCCGTAGTAGGTGAAACGCTCGCACAGCTCGACAACGGCGACCAGCCATGCGGAGATGGGCAGATGCTCCGCAACATGGCGAAGAGTAGCGACTTCCTCAGCGTTGGGTTCTTCGCCGTCGGGGGTGGGACCGAGGGCCTTTTCGCTAGCCTCCGTGAATGCCGACTTTTCGTTCACAATCGATTCGGTGCCGTGGCCCTGTTGTTGCGGCCTGGGATATCCATTAGTATGGGGATGAGGGGGAGCGAAATTCGAGTGAGCTGTGACGGAATGGTGACTCACGAGTCACCGACACGGGAGATGGACAAGCCCACAGGAAGGGTAAAAATCAAACACAAATAGGGTAGTGGACACTTACTGAGTGATCTCAGCCTCATGATCTCCAGACATCTTTGCGGGACCAGGCAGGAAAATCCCAAGGGCGAGTGGGAGGAGTTGAGCGCAGATTTTCCTCTGGAAAGATGAGAGGCACGAGATACTCGCGAGGGAAACGGCGCACACCTTATATCTCCTGGTGGTGGGAGATATAGAGAGGTAGCCGAAGCGGGACCGTTCCTGACCCTGGGACCAATGGCCACCAGGACAGGGCCCGGTTTGTGGTCAAGTGAGAATCTGAATCATTATAACCGAGGAAAGAGTCCGGGCGCAACCCAGAGCCCGGAGGCAACAATCGATATGACAATAATTGACAAGCAGCGTTAAGCATCAGCCGAGATGGCGAAAGATGGCGGTGATTGGCCCATCGCCCGCAGAGCCCGGCGACATCTTGGGACGCCAAGAAGTCGGAGTTTGCCGGTGAGAGGCCGAATTCCTTCCAGAGTTTCCACTCCCTCGTGGCTTCCCCTCACCATATTTTTTCCCAATTTTCTGCGTCTCCTCGTCCCTGTTCGCGTTTGTCCATGATGATCGACAAGAGTGCTTCAATCCTCAAAGATCCGTCAATAAGCGAAATCCCTTGCCTCCATGCAAGCCTCCCAAATCAATTGGCATGCGGAATGGCCTCCGCAACAAAATTTCCACCGTTTTGTCTGACGCCAAGCAGGACCAGGACTAAATCGTTCGTGCCGTCGGTAGGACCACCAGATGCGGAACATGTTAGGTAACATAAATCATTAAGCTGCTAACATGCAGATAAGTCTGGCGTGTCTCATTCGTAGTCCGGCGGAGTACGACTCTCCCTCCGTCGATGTTCTCGCAGGGCGCAAAGGGGGCGCGCGCATGGTCGGCTCATTGTGTGCAATTTCCCCCGCTCATGCGACAGACGATCAGCAGCAGACGGTTGCAACGTCGGGCTTCCCCGCGCCGTGGTTGACTCGATGCATGATTCTGTATGGAGCGCATGTAGATTGGGACCCATCAGTCCATTGTCCTTCCCTGATAACCGTAGGATGTAGCGTGTCTTGGCCACAGCTGTGCTTATCTCCCTCGATTCCTGTCGGATGTCCGGTGGAAGAACGTGGCAAGTGAGGCAATTGAGGCAATTGTGCTATTCGATCATGATGGTGGAAAGGATGGGATCATAACTGTAACCTGGGGAATTAGTTCATTAGACATCCATTGAGGTATGCAGTCCAGGATGTACAAGCTATGAGCATGGTCGCAATGGCCTCAGAAGATGCGACTGCTGGTGCTCATGGCGCGACAGTAGAGACAGACTCTCGAGACATTCCTAATTGGGGGTGGAGTTCATAGCCGACCGGCTCAAGCCGCCCAGAATAGGTCAGAGGCGGAGTTGCCTGGACTGATCATCCGGGCTATCGTATGGAGTAGTGGCCATCAGGCAATCTCTGGGGTTGGATTTCTAATGCACTTCCCAGAGTACTTCAACTCTCTGCTGTTAAGAGTAAGTGAACAACATCACTTGTGTCTGGTGAAAGGGGAGGAAAAAAGCAGGCAGCAGGCAGCAGAGCGCGGAAGGAGCGAGCCCCGTTCAGGTTAAGTATCTTAAACCCCTCCTAAGTCCGACTTCGCCCTCCCAACAACCGCTGATTCGTCATCCGCTGGCTTTGACCTTTTCCGCCCATATTGACCGATGGACAGCCAACGATATCTCCGAACCTGCTGTGATTGCCCTTGCAGTGTCTTCTTATCTGGCCAATACCAGGCACTAGACTCCAATGACTCCGATCTCCGTCCGACCTGGTGTCACAATTAAGCTTAGTCTGGATGACGTGCTTATCAATCTCGAAGCTTGAGCCGGCGATTGGGTGCATTGCATTCAGGCTGGCGAAGCGAAAGGCGATCTTAATATATGTCAAGATCCGTTACCGACTTGGGTTTAATGACTCGACACTAAGAGCACCTGCAGCAGTGCAGTTCGGCTCCAAGACAATCATTCTCCGCACGCGGCTGGTCGCCTACACGGGCTTGGCTTGAGAAGAAATAGCAGGAGGAAGACGCGACCATAGCGATCTTCAATATGCCTTTGACTCATAGTTGAGTGTGAGGGGATCTTCAGTCCAAGAGGTCCTTCGGCTCGTACTTGACCTTGGGAGTCATTCAAATTTACAGTCTAGCAACCCCCGATGCCGCAACACATCAGCCGGGAGCCAAGCCATCTGGATTCGAGGCTCTTCAATCAGAGTGTTTGAGATGCTGTGTACGGCAGCCTATTGGGCATCAAGCAACGCTTTATTGCTCTTAAAGTAGGCGATCATTCTTGTCCTGCTCCACAACTCCACACATCGGTGCGAAATACGAGACTGTGAGTCAACACCGTCTTTTCATTTACTAAGGAACTATAATACAGAGTCATGCATACTTGGAAGCATCTCATTGAAGGGAATAGCGTTCAAACGCTAAATATAGCGGGGATATCTCGGTGTTATTCCGTCGCAGGTGGAGAGTACCTTGAGGCTGCAACGGCTGGGCAGGGCGCCGCAGCGCATTCAGCTATACACTTCTTACATCTATCTATTAAGAACAGAAAGAGGCAGAAGAGATGGCATATGATCAAAAGGGAAGGAGTATCCCAATAGCAATTAAAGGCCACATGGCTTATTAGCATGGCTTATTAGCCGGGGAGAAGCAGGATGTCCCCGGCTCGGACTCGAACCGAAGCCATATCCCAAGTATAATGATTGGGACGAGAAAATGGGTATAACTGAAGCTCTGACCAGTGAGCTGCAGGGTTTGACTCCACTTTTCACCTATATTGGCTAGTGTGCTACGGACAGAAGCTACCTTATTGAGGCCGGTCACCGAGCAGTTGAGTCTCAACTTGAGACGCGTACTCAGAATTGGCCTCAAACCGTCATGAACATTGTCCGTAGAGGAATGAACGGATAAAAGCATGATGACCCTGGGTAGGGAAGAGAGGGAGGAGAGTCGGTACCACGGCACCACCTGGTACGGATTGGTGTAGGAATAAAAATGTGCCTCTGGCACCGGGAGCAGCGGGAAGCTTCGGACAAACTCCATGAATGACTCAGGAATACTATCTATCCATGGAACAAGAAACAGAATTTGACTGTTACTTGATTGGCTATTGGAAAAACCATAGTAAGTAAGTAGTGTGCGCCCCCGACAACAATGAAAAAAAGAAAAACGGAAAAACAAGTGCCCCCACGCGGGATTGAACCGCGGACCTCTTCATGGCAGTATTTGGAATACGAGTGAAGCGCTCTACCACTGAGCTACAAGGGCTGACTTGTTGTAAAACGCCTCTCAACATTAATCTATAGCCTGCATAGCCTAGTTATAGTACGTACTAGTAGTGACTAACTTATTTGACGCTGGTAGATAGTACGCCCCAGATATATATATCTTTGGTAAGGGTAGGAAGGGGTAGGAGAGAGACTAGTACTTCATGACGCAACGTCACGCAATTACCGGGAAAACATCATCTACGGGTAAAAAAGTGTTCTAGCAGTGTCACCGTTACGTTAATTCATCTTCATAAGAAATAGTAAGTAGGAGTTCAACACAATATCATAACTACTAGTTGAAGTGTGGAGGATGCTATCACCAACTAAACGGAGCAGTTACTACATCCTTTCATCCCCGCCCCCGCCTTTCTCCCCAACCAGACCAAAAATAAAAAAATAAAAATTTTAAATAAAAAGCCAAGTAAGCATTTATTCACTATATTTATTTTGCGAAACACATGATTGAACACCATTGCAATGACTTCACCCCCACTAACTGTGTAATATTCACCAGCAAGACCTTCCACCATCTGGCTCGGAATTACCCCGATGCAAAGTATGCGGGTTGAGGAATTTCAACTTCATTTGCCTCTGAAATGTCCAATTCCACTCAGACTGCCCATGAAGTCAATATCGGGATGGAAGTTCCTGACTACAATATTGTGCCTTGCCATGTAATTATAGAAGAAGACCGACAGCGATCATGTATGCATTGGCCAATAGCCCTTCGAGCCAACAAGCAAGAAAAACCTCACAATGCATGGAAACAACCGTTCTTTTCCGTTCCTGCCTCGACGCGTCCCAGTTGATCTGGGAAAACACAAGAAGGACACCCCGCGTGCAACTTCTTCTTAGTTAGCGTAGGCAATGTATCACTGCTCTTTCGAGGTTGTCTTGCTCTGCATGAATTTGCTAGCACAATAGATCTAAGCTGTACCATCCTGTTCTGCTTCCAGACAGACAATCTTGATATGTAGTCCCCAAATTAGCGGCCTTTAATGTGTAGGCAGGTTTTTCTCTGATGCGCCAAGCACAACTATCGTTGATACCAATCCTCTGTTTTTCCCGGGCAAGCTGCTATATCTTGCCATCTTTCCGAAGACATGGGCGAATGGGCAGTGAGAAATTCGGCGATTGCTTTCAACCCGTTGTTCTGCTTATTGGAAAACTTCTCAGAGCCCGCGCAGACCAATTTAGCCCAAGGCCCTCCAAGGACGATCGGTATTTCGTGAGTCTACCGGAACAGAGGCTCTTAATCCTAAGCGAAGTTGGTAAACCATCTCCAGAAGACTGATGGATCCCTTCAGGAGACGTAATCAAGCCGGTCAAGATTCGTTACCGAGATCGCGCACCGGATGATTTTTGTCGCCAGTGAGCAATTGGTGAGCCTCATCTCTCACATCATCCATACTCGTATATTCGCCCCGCCAGCACTTCTTGATTATTGCTCCAAAGAGAACATGATCAGCATTTGGGAATGAGTCTGGTTCGGGCCAACACAAATCAGGGTTTTCGGGGCTGAAGAAATAGTATTTATGGACGCGCCAGTATGCAATAGAGTAGAGAACCCAACCAAGGTGAAGTATCTCAATCAGGACATTTACGTCGTTTTCATTTGCCGAAGTCACATCAATATCAAGTGGTAATAAAATAGATTGTCCAAAGTCAGAAAGCTTAAGCTGTCCATCCAGCACTAAGATATTGCGAAGAGCGATATCATCCACATATACCTTGCAAGAGTGAACATGTGCGAAGGTGTTGATAATACTCCAGATCCAGCTCGTTTTCAGGGAGTTATCGTGTTCTGGATAGGTCTCTAGATAAGTTTCAAGATTTTCTTGTGCAAGGGCTAGTTCAATTCCATATTGGGATGTCTGGAAGCAAGAAATAATCCCTTTGTGACTGCCCAGGCGCTGGAAGACTTGGATCTCATTATCCAGGGTTTGCTGGTTTATTTGGTTCATGTATTCCACATCCTCGCGGTTTTGAAGACACCCAGGTTGATATTGCTTTGCTTTCTTCACAGCACGGTCTTCCCCAAGCTTGTGAATGATCCCAGTCATGCCATTTCCAATTACTGGGAGACCGAGATAAGGGTCATGGGAAATGGGAGAAGGTAAAGTATTGCTAGATCGTCCGGGAATATGCGTGCATTCCATTTTGCCAATTCGAGTTTGGGGATTGTGATCCTGACCCTCTGCTCGAAGAATTTGCACATGGGGAGACGGCCCAGCTTCCATTTCGTTTGTTTGACAGGTGTTGGGGGTATCGATCTGTAACGGTGCAATATTCTGGAAGAACAACTTAGCAAGGGACTACAAAGAGAATGCAGCCGAACTTACCTTTGACTCGTCCGACTCCGTAGCTGCAGGATGCCAAATAACATCATAGAGCCATGTACGGATTACTGAAAGTATCATGAGTATTATTGGAAAGTGCGGAAAGCGAACATGGAGAAAGAAGGTGGAGAAGTGTACGATGAGCTGGTAGGAGAAACGGCGGGCCTTTCGAAGGGATGGAGTAACATAGCAATTGCGGGCCGGTCTCTAACCTAGTTGGGCAATGGGTTCGTTACTAAGTACATCCGGCGTCTTGGAGTTTCATCACCATTGCCCTCTACTACCACTTACTACTTCTAAGATTGGCTCCATACATGCGAAATTAAATAACTTTTAACATTATAGATCGTTGTACTCGACTCTGCGCTCAGAATGTAGCATAAGAAGCCATTAATCAATCGCTTATCACCCATTCTAGCAACAGCTTCTCATAATACATGCATTCTAAAACTCCAGTAAGTGCACCATATATATGATACGTCACATCCCATGTCTTGCGTATGCTTCATTTAGAAAAAGATCCAACAAAGCGCCCTTCTTTTTTTCCCCTTTGGAGAGGTCTTCAAAAGTAACACCCACTTAGCTCCGTTCGGAACGCACTAGATCTTATACTTCAAGACCTTTCCAGTCTTCGCCAACCTAGCCGCACAGAGCAGACAGAACCCGACGAGCATCGAGCACGCCGCGAAGAGCTGCGCATATACATAGCGGCCATTGTCTCTCGTGATCAGAACACCGGCGATAGGAGGACCTGTCAACACGGCGAAACTGACGATTGTCTACACCCATGTTAGTCACCAAATTCACCCTTCCTTGCAAGTGGTTGAATAAGGGAGGGAAACTCACAAAAATCATCCCCATTCTGACACCCGCTTTCTGCAAATCAGTCGTCAGACTACTCAACGTAGCCGGAAACATTCCCTGCAAACCATTTCCTACAATACCATAAACAACCGTCCATGCATAAAGCCCCGAGATAGACGTAACGCCAATCATGGCAAAAGCGCAAATAATCGAGAACAAGGTAACCACAATAAGAATATTCATCGGCCCGGTATACCGATCAGCCAGGTACGCAGGGACCGGACGACCTATAATCCCCAGACCATTCAGAATAAGAGTAAAGGTGAGCGACTCCTCCTGAGAGATGTTGATAATCGCAACACCAAACGAACTCAGATAGTAAAAAGCGAAATAAACACCCCAGAAGGTCAAGAAGATGCCGACCGCAAACAAGGTGTATGATGGTTCCTTGAAAGCAGCGAGCTCAATGAGAGGACCTGTTTTCCGAGGGGGCACTCTCGGTCTGGCTAGGATGTTGCAGATGATTAGACAGGCTAGGGTGAAGAAGCCGAAGACTCGCATCGTCCACCCGTAGCCGATCTGTGGGATCAGGTGCTGGAACATGACGGTGAAGATTAGACCTCCTGTGGCGCTGCCGCAGGCGCAGATGCCGACGGCGAGCATCTTCCGCTTTGCGAAGTAGGTGGATGTTACTGAGAGGGCTGGACAGAATAGACATCCGTTGCCGATTCCGCAGCAGATTCCTTGCGCGAGGAATATTTGGTAGTATTCGGTTGATATGGAGGCCATGAACATGCCGAGGACGCTGAGGATGGTCCCGACCACTGTAGTAATTAGCATATATCTTGAATAGCGGGGATGTCATAGTTTGGAAGCTATAAACTCGAGATGCATCTGCGGAGAAGAAGTAAACTCACCAAAAACCGGCCGAAAGTAACCCGCATCAGTGAACCTCCCCGTAAAAGTACCTATAAAGAAGACAATAAAGACCTGAACGCTTCCAATCCACGAAACATCCGAATCCGAGCGATTAAGAAAGTCGACATAATACGTCTGAAAGATACCAAACGAATTCATATAGCCCCTGGTCCTATCTCAGCATACTTTTCACGATACGGCCAGCACAAAGTGTAACCACGCTCCTGGACGAACCAATTGAGCTTTCACACGTGCAAAAGCAACGCATTAAAACCTACCAGGTATTCATAATAATCAAGTGTCCCACTAGGACCTGTGTCCATGCGAGAGCTCCGCCGTCTGGGGGAGGACCGGGGTCTTTCCAACTAGCGACGCTTTGCGATTTTGAGAGTATCCCCCATTTTTTCTCTTTGATGGTTTCATTGTTGATTGTCTTTTCGTCGAACTCGGTTATAGCTTCTGGGTATGCTTCGACACTGCTATTGTCGGTCATGTTGGTGGTGTTGGTGAGTGGTGCCGGCGGGTTGGTTATTAGAATAATATAGGTATGATAGTCGCAATTGGATCGCAAATTGATTGATTATTTGGTAGAAAGGTAATTAAACACACCTACAATGTAATTGATTAGCACGAACGGTTTAAGAACGCAAATGAACATACCTATTATTTGCATATATTGCATCTCTGAAAAGAATTGGCCGTCACAATTGCATAGTTATAACAGAACAAAGACATGCAGACAAGAGAGTGATTTCCCAGTCATAAAGATAAAAAAAAACAAAATGATTCAATAATAGTGGTCTTAATGCGGCGTGGCGAGGAATATTTCCTCGTAGTCCGGTTTCGGACTAGTCCATGTTACAGGGCGCGGAGATGAAAGAATTTCCTGAAGAAGCAAGTCAGCAGAGACGCTTGGATCCGAAGCAAATTGACGGTGAAGTGCCTAGACTTGGTTACCCTAAGATCGACTAAGATATAGTCTCCAGACACTAAGATAAGTCTAGACACGTCACCGTAATCGGGGTGGGGCATGTATCTGCTGGTTTCCCCGATGTTACTCTACCATCCCACTCCATACACTAAGACTGCGGACAAAGTACTTCAGATAGCATCTTGCCACGATAAGCACTAACCTGTCGATCGACAGTAACAGGGAATCAAAAGGTACAGAAAAGGGCTTAATTGAGGGGTAATGTGAACAGGGATCAGGTACCAGGTCCAAGCTCAACTGATAAGGGTATTGTGCTCTAATAAAATGGGCAAATGCCCTGGTGTATACCTCCGTAGTAAGGACACCTCTTCTTGTCTCTTGTGAACATAGCACATCCATACTCTCTGATTATTTGACTATTAGCAATGGCCTCGCCACAAACCATCTACCTCGCCGTCAGTCAGGCACACACCCTCGCCAGCACCCCGGAGACTGTTCAGGCCTTGTCCCAGCAATGTCGGCAAGCAGCCAAGCAGACCCCATCACCCGATCTGATTCTCTTTCCGGAAGCTTACATTGGGGGCTATCCTCGTGGGGCGACCTTTGGAGCCAAGGTGGGATCTCGAGACGATGAAGGCAGAGAACAATACCTGAACTACTTCAAGGATGCGGTGGATCTGGGCGATACGCCTGAAGGAGCGGGGGAGAAGTGGGTGAGAAGGGAATTGGAGGGGCAGGACGGGAGTGGAAGTGGAGTCCGAAGGGGCGATGGAGTCCGCGAGGAGTTGGAACTAGTTGCTCGCGAGACGGGTATCTTCATCGTCACTGGATTGGTTGAGAGGGCTGGAGGGACTCTTTATTGTGCGGTAGTTTATGTCTGTCCTAAGCTGGGAGGTGAGTATCCGCATGTACTCTTGATGTGGAGTGTGGAAGCTGACATGATGCTATTATCTACACAGTGATTGGCAAGCGGAGAAAGGTCATGCCGGTAAGTATACCTCTTTGTATTGATATGGTATTAGGCTGACCAGCACTAGACAGGAAGTGAGCGTCTGGTTTGGGGCCAGGGACAGCCCTCTTCGCTCCGTGCTGTGACAACCACCATCAAAGGCGTGAAACTTACCCTAGCAGCTGCTATCTGCTGGGAAAACTACATGCCGCTGTTGAGGCACTCCCTCTACAGTCAGAATGTCAATCTCTATCTAGCCCCTACAGCCGATCAGCGTGACGCTTGGGCCCCTCTCATGAGAACCATTGCCTGCGAGGGTAGATGTTTCGTCTTGAGTGCCAACCAATGCCACAGGAAGAAGGACCAACCTGCTTGGGTTTATGGGGAAAAGTCCGAAAGTGAGGAATTTGCCACCAGAGGGGGTTCTTGCATTGTAGCTCCAAGTGGAGATATGCTGAAAGGACCGCTGTGGGAGGAAGTAGATGGCATGATGATGGTGGGGGTGGATTTTGATGATTGTCTGAGATACAGATTGGATTCGGATGCTGCTGGAAGTTATTCGAGGTATGCAAGTGTCCTGCTGGTTGTTAGTGTATGCTAATGTGGTTGAGCAGAAACGACTCGTTCAAGTTGATTGTGAATGGACTTGATATCAGTCCTCCTCTTTAGAGGGCAAGTATGATACTTAGCTTACTTGAACAATACACGTCTGTGATACTGTATTTGCATCCAGAATACACATTTGAAAAACATGTAATCTAATGTTTGAGACCCAGACTCTACATTCCACAAAGTATAGTTTCTATCTATTACTGGTGGCTGTTCTATAACTGTGTTTCTCGTAACAAACATCCAAAATAGTCTTAAGCTCATACTGCATAACACCGATTACCCTTCTATCCCCTGCACCATCAATGCATGCCTCCCAAGTCTATATACCCAACCCACTCAACACTATACAACAGTATACGAAACCCGACTAACCCCCTTCGACCTCGAAATCTTCTTCACCTCAATCCTCCCAACCAAACTACAATCCGTAACATGCGTCCCTCCACAAGGGTAACTCCCCAGCCCCTCCATCTCCACGACTCTGCCCAGCGTCTCCCCTTCTGGCAACGCAAACCCCTCCGCAACAAAGCACTTCTCCATCAACTCCTCCATGGACCACCAATGAATCCTAACAGGACTCGCGGACTTTACGAACTCATCTGTCTTTGCCTGAATAAGCTCCTTATGCTTCCCCTCCAACGTGCCCTCAAATGAAACCGACGCCGACCCCGGATAATGCGACGCCTTCGACTCCTTCACTGGAGGAAGCACACCCTCGCGACACAGCGCATGAATCGCCAAACTCATAACATGTCCAGCAGTATGGAGCCGAGAGTGTAGGTTCCGCTTCTCAGCGTCCACGTGCTGCTGGACTTCCTCTCCGGAATCAAACTGCGTAGTCCCGACCGGGACGAAGCGGCCCAAGTG